GCAAGGGGAGCAGTAATGAAGCCGGAGCCGGAATCGCATTTCCTGTGGATGGTCCGGCTGCCGGACTTGTAGAGCGGCGGTGAGGAAGTGAGCACCTGGCGCGGGAGCTCTGCCAGATATCACGGCTAAATTGCAAACAGTGGGCCGCATAGCTTGCGTGTGGAGGCAGTGCCAACGGTAGGAGCGATCTGTTCCTGAACGAGGTTCGTGAGACCTGTTTCAGCAGGTGTAAACATCTCGCCCATCGCTTCGGCCGCCGTCTTCTGTTACACGACGAGATCCGACTAAGTTTCCACGCTGTCAGTGAATGTAAACCAACACACGCAGCCCTGACGCAGACCTCACCGGCAGCTGCCGGACACCTCCCAGCCCGCCGCTCTGATCCAGACCTCACCGGCAGCTGCCGGACACCTCCCACCCCGCCGCTCTAATCCAGACCTCACGGGTACCTCCCAGCCCGCCGTTGTCATCCAGGCCTCATCGGCAGCTCCAGGGCGCCTCCTCTCATCCCGTAGCCCCATTGGCTCCGATTCGACGATGCAGCGCCATTCAACAGCGTGCTGGGCCGAGCGGCCGGCGACGGCCGACCTAGGTCGGCGGCGCCCGGGGCGACGCCGCCGGCTGTATCGACCTGCCGCCTCCAGCCGACCGACGCTCCGTCGGCCGCGCCGGCCGCTCGGGCGTGCCGACAAGCGGGCGCAGCCTGGGCTGGGAGGGAGCTGCAAGGCACACCGAGGGAGGGCAGGGCTGGGAGGGAACGGTACGGCACACCGAAAGAGGGTGGCACTGGGAGGGAGCGGTGCGGCACACCGAGGGAGGGCAGGACTGGGAAGGAACTGCACGGCAGGCCGCGGAAGGGCGGGACTGGGAGGGAGCGGCACGGCACACCGAGGGAGGGCAGGGCTGGGAGGGAACGGTACGGCACACCGAGGGAGGGCAGGGATGGGAGGGAGTTGCACGGCACACCGAAAGAGGGTGGCACTGAGAGGGAGCGGTGCGGCACACCGAGGGAGGGCGGGACTGGGAGGGAGCGGCACGGCACACCGAGGGAGGGAGGGGCTGGGAGGAACGTGCACGGCACCGACCCAGGGCTGGGAGGGAACTGTACGACAGACCGCGGAAGGGCGGGACTAGGAGGAAACTGCACGGCAGACCGCGGAAGGACGGGACCGGGAGGGAACTGCACGGCAAACTGGGGGAGGGCAGCACTGGGAGGGAACGGTACGGCAAACAGAGGGATGCAGTTGGGCGGGGTCGGACTGAGCGCTAGCAAGGAGCCAGGGTCAAGCTGGGAGTAGACATGGACCATAGCATCATGTGATCATGTCGACGGCGAAGCTACGGCCGAAGAAACAGAAGTCTGACGACAGGCTAAATCATATACAGCCACGCCATTGTTGAGCCATGAGTTTCACAAATTTTCCGTCTGAGAGACAGGCTGCGAGCGGAAGCAGGTTGGAGAACTGAAGAAGCAAGTGGACGGTAAGCTGTGATCACGGATAAGTACGCGAGTCGAGAGCCAAGGCGACCTGACATGTGACAGGAAAACTTCGGGTGTTCACGCGTCATACGCTGGAACGCGACCAAACGACGAGCGTAAGCTGCATGCCTCGGAGCCACAAAGGGCGCGCCGGAAATGCCTGCGGACGAGGCCACAGCCAACCCCGACAGTACAGCTGTCCCGGCTCCCTGGGATGGTGACCACAGCCAACCCCGACAGTACAGCTGCCCCGGCTCCCTGACATGACGAATGAGTGTGGATGCCGCGGCCGTCCCCGACCGGCTCCGCTGGCCTGACAGCTTTGGACGGTGTCGTCGCGAAAGACTCCGCACAGATTGTCGCAACGGTTGCTGACATTTGATTGAATTTCCGCTTGCTCGTAGGGCGTGTAACTTCATAACCATTCAGCGCTCATCAGTGTCAACCTTCCCAAACGGGAAGAGCAGCTGACGGATCGCCGCCACGCACATCCAGCCGCTAGCAGTCGGTCGGATTGTGATGACACTAAACACACCCACAGTACCAGACTCACAACCCCAGCGGGCTCCCCTCCGGCCCCCGGCTAACGGGCCATCGCATCATTAGCTTCGGAGACCCAGTTTCGTGGCACCCCTCTTGAGTCCATTAACGGAGGTTCGGTGCCGTGCGAGCGTCAGTGAAAAAGGAGGGGAGCGTGCCGCCGCCGGGGGTGCGTCAAACACCGCGGCCTCGCTGGGCGGAGGGGGCACCTCTGGCTGATCAGCCCATTAGGGGAGGACTCAGCGTGCGCCAGGCGGAACGGCCTACAGCTCCCGACAGAGTATGCGCTAGATACGAACGACACATACGCAGAAAGGCCGCTGGTGAAATGGCCAATGGCCACGTGTCTGCCCTCAACCAGTTGCTCGAAAGTCCAGCGTCGCCGAAAAGGGAAGATCACAATATACCGAGTTGCTGGTTTTGTTGTCCATTTCGCGCGAGTGGCATGCGGGACGTAACGCATTTAAACGGCTCGATCACGGCCCGGTCACGGCTCGTTCCGCCAGCGTGTAATGCATTCGGACGGCGGCGGGCAGTGTACACCGAGGACCGGTCACCGCCTAACGGCACATCGTCAAGCCTCCAACGACCCGGTGAAACCGCCGCTTTGCCGGCCGACGATCGCCCTCCAGCATTGTGGGCCGGTGGTGCAGCGGCAGGCTGAGGTGTCAGTACGTCACCCGGGCCGCTCAATCATTCATGATGATCGCCATTCACGCCAATCGGGTACTGAGCCATGTTCCAGGGTTTTGTAACAGTATCATCATCCATTTCTTTGGAACAGCTGTGTTGCTACCCGCAAACAATGGCAGATTGACCTGACAGGTGAATGCATGTCGCACGACGGCACTGCTAAACGAGACAAAAATTGGTGCAGCAGTTTCATGTTGGATCATAAAAAGACAGGATTTGGCACGGTCGTCAGCACCGGCACAATAACATTGTTACCTAATAAAATAACTCAGACGTTCCTTCTGTGAGAAAGCTATCGTTCGCCGTAAGTCTGTTACGGTCCTCTCCCAGCCGCCGGAAATTTCCAGATTCGGGCCACATACCGTGAAGTGCCGCACCATCCTCACATCCGCACTCTCCTGCTCGCAGCCGAACCATCTTCACATCCCGCAACCTCCTGCTCGCAGCCGAACCATCCTCGCATCCTGCACCCTCCTGCTCGCAGCCGTACCATCCTTACATCCCGCACCCTCCTGCTCGCAGCCGAACCATCTTCACATCCCGCAACCTCCTGCTCGCAGCCGAACCATCCTCGCATCCTGCACCCTCCTGCTCGCAGCCGTACCATCCTCGCATCCTGCACCCTCCTGCTCGCCGTGAAGTGCCGAACCATCCTCACGTCCCGCACCCTCCTGCTCGCAGCCGTACCATCCTCACATCCCGCACCCTCCTGCTCGCAGCCGAACCATCCTCGCATCCCGCACCCTCCTGCGTGAAGTGCCGAACCACCCTCACATCCCGCACCCTCCTGCTCGCAGACAGCGTCTCTCAGATCGCACAGCATCCCTTATTTTGTTGGCGGTGAGCTTGTGCAGCTGCTGGCGGCACCCAAGCGAAAGAGCCTCGCAATACATCACTGATGACGGCACCGCCGTCCACAGAATGACGGATGACGTCACGCGGTGACGTCACTGGCGACGCGCGCTGCCGTCGATATTCCGCTGCCGCTCCTCCTTCAGGGCCGAGAGAATGTCGGAACGCCCTTCTTAAAGGCATCAGACGGCCCAGACTGCTGGGGCGCTGAAAAATGAGCGGGCTTCGCGATGCGGTTGACGAGATAAAAGTCGCCATCAATATTAAGGGCCGCTCGAGACAAGTCGTCCATTGCCAAATGAAGGCCGCGGTGCCAAGCTGAGGCGAAGTCGATCATTAAGGAATAGAAAGCCGCGCACCCATTTCAATGGACAGCGCTCTAGCGACAGCACATGCCACATGGAAGGAACCGTTTGCGTCCTGTGAACCAGGTAAATAAACACGGGAACAGTTAAGCACGGCGATGTAACCATTATGCTAGGCAGGCTGCCCAGTATCGTCCGCCCAACGTGTCGGGCCGGGCTGGCATGTTTCTTTACTATCACATCGGAGTCTAAACAAACCACCACATCACCAGAGGACAGCGTTAAGAAATCCAAGCAGGTGCCTCCGCCCTCTTCGAGACAAATCTTCCACCTGAACCCTCTGAACAGTGATTCACTTGCTCTCGTTGGTGAGGGGATGTTTGGCACTGCATCCAAGTACGCGCAGTCGTGGGCGCTCGGGGCCTTTTGGCACGAGGCGCCACTTACCGCGCTCCGACAGGCAGACAGGCTGGCGTGGAGCGCCAAGACACAGCCCTCCTCCAGTGCTTTGCCGTCAGCGAGGGCAGCATTGTCCTATCGGCCGCCTGACCGGGCTATCAGAGACTATTGCTGTCTTGTGATTAGTGGGGGATAGCAGAGGGTTCGTCTTCTGTCAGCCAGTCTAGGCAAGCCTAGATCGTGACTTGAGACGGCTCAGAGGTACGGTCTCCTCACGTGCGGCAACTCCCGCTCATAGCACTTCCATTTAAAGGCCATGCTAAAGATAATTGTTTCGAATTTAGATTGCTGAGGCAGTCATCTTGTTCTTATAGCAGACAATGTGCGCCAAATTGTTGTTTGTATGTTGCAAGCGTACACACATTAGTATATGCATCCAAAAATAGCATGCATGTTGGTGCTGTAGCTATGACGATTCGTTCGTTGCCAAACTTCACTGGAAATCGGCTGGTTCTGAAGCTGTTTTGCGTGACACTCAATATCTGACCTCTGCCTATCAGCGACCCGCACCCTGTCCCATGGAACGCTGCTCAGCGTTCGATCCGGACGTATTTTGCTCGTCGCCGTACGGCCGTACCACTTTCGTCACATTATCGCAGAGTGCGCGGCTATTGAAGCTCGATTGCGGCGATTGGCTGCGTTAGCCGCAGTCCGGATACCGCCGTACTCACCGCCGCCCAGCCCCGCTCCCAGCAGCAGCAGCAGCGGCGGCCAGCACGCGCCGAGCGCCATTGCTAGCGCCGTGCTCTCCGGCGCACCTCCGGGTCAGCAGCTCACTCGCGCGCGGCGAAGTTTGTCGGCCCACTCCGCCGAATCTCACTCGGATCGCCTCATCGGCCGCGAACACCGGCTAGTCCCGGCTCCGACGACGGTCTGGCCGCCCCGCGATCGACGCCGGCCACTGCGCATGCGCCGACTGGCGGCGGCAAGCGCGGCCGCACGCCCTGACCTGAGCCCAGACGGAGGCGACGGCAGCCTCCATGCTGGGGTCGAGCGCAGTTACTATTGTTAGCACCCATATTGAAGTTGATGATTTCATGCCAACGCTATGACGATGGGGTCAGAAGGGTCGTCTAAGCATAACGTAACGCATCTTTCGCACTAAAACTACTCCCAGCAGCGCTGCAGCGTTTGACCGACAATCTCGCCTCTATAACAAGTGACGTTTGTTCAGACCGACCAGGATGCTTGTTGGAATATTGGGCGTGGTCACGACAGACACGTACTTATGACACATTAACGTTCTGCTTTTTTGCGGTTCATCACCTTTTCACTCCTACATCTCCACAGCGCACCGCTTCGTGCATTTGGTCATTCGACTTTGGTCAAAAGAAAGGTGGGGGAAGGACGACAAGAGAGCATGGGAAAGATAATAAGTAATTCTTCTGATCTAACTCTCGCCTAAGCTTTGAATTCTTGCAACATCTTTGATTGCTCGGGAGTATCGCGCGAAACCGCTCAATGTGACATGACACGATTCTGGCCGGTTGAGTTTGCACCTTATGATTTGCACCTGGCGTGCATATCAGGTGAGTAAGAAAAGGTCATGAGTCTTAATGGTGCCCCAGTTCGGGAGATCTCAATGGCCTGCATCACGGAAATGTGAAAATTTCATTTTCAGCCGCGCGCACGATATTTTCTTGCCAATTGATTCTCAACATGTAAAAGTGTTATACCGTGAACGTCAAAAATGCTGTGACTTTTCCTGGTGTTATTCGGGGTAAAGGACCGCGCAAAATGAAACCTTACCAACTGCGTAAAAAGATTACCATAGAGCCCGGTATATCACGAACCGGAGAGGCTCAGTTATGCCAGTGAAGTGTAAGGTTCATTTAGGCTGAAGGTCACTTCAGGCTAAATCTGAGAAAATACGTAACATTTTTAGCAGAATTTTCACATTATGGCGACATCACCGTCGTGCACGGAGATCATGCATGCAATATCACATACGATCGAGATCAACAGAGGTTATTGAATGGCCCCAGGTGACCTTGAGAGCGCACTTTGACATGGTTTGAATTTCACCGGATCTGTTCAGCGGACGTATAAAAAAGTTACTAAAGACGGCAAAGAACGTAAGTTGACCTTGTTTGACCCAAGCTGACAGGTGAATTGTTGAATTTTCATTTCATTTTATTTATTTTGATTGAAAGCGCATCCACGTGGTGGTTGTTCTGCGCCTGGTGGTGCAAGAAAACACCGTACATAGACACGCACACATATGCATTACACATACATTCACGCATTCCGGAAACTAATGCCTTGGCAGCCACTACTGATAGGTTTTGGAAGTTTTCCACAACTTGAAGTGCACTTACATGGAAATTGTGCTGTCTGAATTACTGGTATTGACATGCAAGCTGTTTGACGGGACATACTTCTCCTGCATCGTCGCAGCATAACCAGGATTCTACCTCTCTTTTTCGATTCGCATGAAAAGCAAAAAATCGTTAGCTTGCTGAAAAACTGAAGAAAAAAACGTGAAGAAAAACTGGGCTCAGTCTCGATCTTAGCGACATTTGCCGCAGCGATTTGATTACAGGTTTTGGCGAGAGGAAAACGGACAATCGCACTGACCGACGTCTCCGGACCGGTGCGTGCGGGCGGTCATGCGATCTCATGCGCAAGCGATAGGTCCTTCCCACCTTCCATAAGGATGGATGTCGTTTGTCGGCAGCCAGAACAGATGAGAACATGCCATCCGCGCTATCCGCGCTGCGTATGCAAATGTACCCAAACAATTTAAGAACGCGTCTCAAAATTGTTTGACCTGCAGGTGCGCTAGGAATCCATCGGAAAGAAACTGAAATCGCTTACCAAGACTAGGCTCACAGCCAGCCGTTATCTGTTAATGTTATTCGTGAATTGGCCGCGTGTCACAAGATGCACAAGGCGCCTTACTGGCGCTACTTCCGCGAAATGAGGCGCTATTGATTCCAGCCATGAATGAGGGCACGTGGTGGAATTAATCCGTGGATTAATTGAATTCAGATACACGGAACTAATCAGAACTCGCAGACTCGCGCTCCGAGTTCCTGTTGCGAAGGAATGTGTCGGCAGGTTCCAAAATCGCACACCAACTGCCCCTCGAATTTACGTTACGTGATCACGCGTTAATTGCGTAACGGGGGAGGGGGCCATGCTGAGCCGCTATCGCCCGTTACCAAGGAGCGGGGAGCATCCCGCCCCGTGGAGCAAAGCACCGCTTACGGCTACGCTTACGGATACTCTTGTGGCTTACAGATGGTCTAACTCGTGCGAATTACCGTGCCATTCTTTCTAGTTGTCTCAAACCATATGCACGCAGTGAGACAAGGGTAGGTGTGCCCAAGAAAATAAAGCTAGGGCGTAGACAAGGTGCACAGTATGGTGTATTTGGCGCCCAGGCTAGTGGGTGGTGGCCGTCGCATCGACCACATTTCTCCCGTTCTGGAAACCCTCGGCTGGCGTGGTGTCGTGAGCATGTGCACCACCGGGTCTGCCGGATTGTGTGCAGGGCACTGCACATCCCCGAATACTCGAATGCGGTGCATGCTGTATTCGTGACGCACGCAGTCTTCCCAACGTCCAACTCGGGCTGCTTTGGGCGGCACCGGCTGATCACATCTGTCGCGTGCCGACTGACCACCATCCAGCGGCAATCGCCGTTCCGCGCCACCCGTCTGAGGCGGCTGTCCGCGCTCCCGCGCACTGAGCATTTGACTGTTTTAAACTGCTGACTCATTGACCGAAACTGCTTTTACCTGCGGGCAGGCAGAGCGCCACGTATATACTTTTTGCCATCCTGTCATTTTCGGAAGATCCCGCAAGTGATAGCAGCTCTCATCTGTATCCATGGCCGGCAACAATTAAGCGGTCATGAGGTCCGTCCATTAGCAACAACGTCCTGCCGTAATGTTCGGGAGGGTGCTCCAGTTATGGACGGCTCGGATATGGTCGCGAATGATCGCGTGACAAACAGCCTCCAGCCAACCATCGTGAATGCGAGGAGGTCTGCCGTAACCTGTGGCCGAAAACGTCGGAAGGCCCCGCATAGCCGGTGTAATCCACAGACCAGTACCGAAGACGGCTTAGTCACACAGGCGGGTTGGATGGTTTTAAGTCGCCGTTCAACAGATGGAAGGCCCCGCATAGCCGGCGCAATCTACAAGCCAGTACAGAAGACAGCTTAGTCACACAGGCGAGTTGGATGGTTTTAAGTCGCCGTTCAACATATTTTTTTAAAGATTTGATCCGAACCCTTTGAATGGATGGATTTCCGGGATCAGAGCTCACGCTAAGCAGTGCTTGTTGTGTGAGCCATGACCCCTACCATCCGATCGCGCAGTTCCATGTCAACGGCAGAATTTGGTGGCGAAAGCTTAACGTCCGAGATGCTCGGCACGGTCCGTCTTGCCCTCTGACGTCAACTCACCTTTAGCGCGACCGCTGCCACCGGCCCCAGGCCGTACCTGTCAAGTGCAAATAGCGAGCGCCCTAAAGCGACTCGAACCCCACCCGCCACGGGTGGGTGCATCGGAATGCAGGCGCTGTAACCAACTGAGCCACCGGGACAGATAAATGACCCGTGTTCCAACTAAAAGGTCCTATTTACTTGCAAAAGGAGACCTATGTCATGGCCAAGAGACGGCCCGAGACATGGTGGGTGGTTTAGGCTCGCGGCACGATAGAAAGCCCCTGTCGTGACCCGACAGGAGGCCCCTGTCGTGACTCGTGGGGGAGGCCCGTCATGCACCGAGAGGAGACCCTGTTATGACCCGACAGAAGGCCCCTGCCAAGATCCGAAAGGAGGCCCCTGTCACGAATGATAGGAGACACTAGAAATATTGACTGGCTATGTCCGCGGTACGACAGAAGGCCCTCGTCACCACTACGTAGTGAGGCAGGAGGCCTTCTGTGCAACTATTCCCTTCATGACCAGGGAAATGCCTTCGTCACGAGTGAGTGGAGCACTTGTCCTAATCGCGGGGAGGCCTCAGTCAGGGGGATTAGGGATTCAGGCGTATTGAATGACTTTGAGATACAAGGACGCCGACATTGTACTGAATTGTATGGTCTGATATGCTTGAACTATTAACCACAAAAGGTTCATTTCAAAACAGTTGGCTATCAGTCACGAGCTCTAACAGTTGCTTTGCCTATCGAAGCATGTAACAAGCTTCCCCATCGTGGGTGTTTCTACAAAGTGTATGCAAACATAAATTCTGTCCTGGCATTACCAAACATTGATAGTTACAGTCCAGGCCATAACACATTGGGAGAGCCCTGCGGCCTTAGCCTGAGGACGACTGTTTCGCACTAGAAGCACATCGCAGATCCAGCCGCTTATCGCAGTTTCCATATCAATCGAACAGGAAAGGTGGAATCGCGTTTATTTCGCAGCCTGAATACCGGGTTCAATGAAAACCCTCCATCCCAGAAAGTCAGTAGTACCGTCAGTGTTTTCGCATACTGATGCTGAATTATCCCACCTATTCCACCCCGTTTGGTGAATAAATAAATGCATACTGCCACGTACAGCAATAACGTACAACTGCCACGTAAATGCCACGTACAGCAAAAACAACATCCGAGAACATGGACAACTGAGTAATGCACAACTGATGCCGTGCGTTAACGGCGCCGCAGAAGCCGACGTTCCGCGCCTGCGGATTTTCCCACGCCCCGGTGACCCCGAAAATGACTGCCAACGAGCCAGCACTTGCCGCATCCATCAGTCTGCCAAACCAGGAGCGTTTTCATCAGTCAGGCAGACGCCTCCTGCGCTGCTGGCCAGAGGGGAGTAACAAGGTGCCGTCGCTGAACAGGAAGCTCCGTCTGTGATGGTCATGTGCTCAGACCGACGGCTCTGGAGACAAC